AGTTCATCAAAATATCACATTTCACTGATTCAATTCCAGTGGATTTTTAACATTGGCATTGAAATTATCATTATTAATGGTTGGATATTCTCAATGGCCCTAATTGTTGACGGAAATAACAACTTCGACCAAACATTTTAATAAATGTTTTGTCGAAGTTGTTTTAGACCCAGTTTTAGACTTATTCCGAAGGGAATTTCCACTATCTTCGTGAATTTTTTTGAGTTATGTTGATTTTTCGCCCAGTCTCATTCACTTGCACAATATGATGCATTGGGCATAATGTACGACCGTTCACATGAAGTCGAATTTCTGATTTCTCACCATAATATACGTTGGTACTGAGCATGCCCAATGTACTTCGAAACGATAAACTTTGCCGTCAGATTGTCGACATCGAACACTTTTGAGTAGTCGAATATATTCAGAGACGTGTCTGTAGCTGGTTGGGTTCGTTTCGGTTGTGGTGTGCATTGTACTGTTGGCGTGGGCTGCACAATAGAATTACTATTAATTTCATTAGACAACCTCCATATTAGCTTCGACGATGGATTATCGAATATTCTTGTTGTCTTTGAATAATCTCTTTCGGATTGGTTTGTCAAGAAATATTTCGGAAGGATTCAATTGAAAGAGTTAAACCGTAATGGTAACGCATTGCAGTGAAAAACCATCAGTTTTTGCATGCTAATATTGGGTGGTCAACAGTACGATCCATTTTTATGTGGATATCATAATGAAAATATGCGTGGTAGAGGATCTTTTCATGGTATTCGTCATGATTATTTATATCATCAGTAATTGATTGACTGAAGGAACGAATTCTGAATGAGGACGGAAGCAGCTGAAATTCACCAGTGGATGGTTGACTGCACGATTCGCGTAAATGCAAGAAGCCGTTCGGTCGAATCGACTCGAGAACATTCAAGAGAAACTCGATCACCTCCTCATCATTCAGATACATCAATAGCCAGTTCGTAAACACCAAATCAACGCTAAATGAACAATTTTAGTGAATGTGCATGGTACTGGTCACTGCAAGTGCCGTTATCACTATTATTTCGCTGCATTTTAAAGGGTTCTCATCATTCATTTGCAAACTCATTCACATTCTCTTCGGATATTCATTCGATCTTGCAAAACTCCACAAAGCTTGAATTCAATCGAATATCCCAGTATTTCTCAGCCTCTAAATCCGTTCAGCTTCTCATGCGACTCTAATGGCTCATTATCTTTTGAAGTGCAATTAATCATATCGCTCAGTTACACATCTATCCAGCAGTTTTTATAGAGAATGAGACATTATATTAAGTTTTGCATTGTAAAATTTAAAGTGATTCAATTGATAACCTATTTGGTTTGAGTTTCAAGTGAACTGCGTCAATAACTTGATAGGTGATATTAGAGAAGTGTTCATTTCGTTCCTGATTTTTACGCATGAAACTCGCCATAAAATCACATGATAGCACATGACGAGCCGCACGTGCGAACATTGTTGTGAAACGGCTGAAAACTACCGACAGATATTATCATTTCGGAAAATGGGAATAAGTGCATGAAAAGTTGCGTTCGTCTATGTTCCAATTTATTCTCTTTCATGTTAATAAAGTTTTGAAACGCAACTTTGCATGATATACGCATTTGTATGCTTTGATGAACATCAAAATTTTAATTTATACATTTGGCAGTCTAATAACAATGAGTTGAAATTGCGAAAGTGCAGCCAAACGAAAACAAAAATTAAAAATAAAATTGATTAAGAGTGCAGCCAAAAAAAAGACCTTTCTGCATTGATCTTTCAAAACTTTTCCGTTTCGCATGAAAGCGAAGAGAAAGAAAATTCTCAAATGAACCCGTTTTCATTCAGCTTAACGTGAATGGAAAAGAATTGCGATGCTCAAAAAGATATTACAAGAATAACCCGATACTATTTAATAGGTCAATTGATATACGAACATCTGATAAAGTCCTTCATCACATGTTCGTAAGACAATTGCTTTATTAATTGGTAGTTGTTTAATTTTTTCCTGTCCTATTTAACAGATATCTAATTAATATTGGATATTGATCTATTTCATAGGTAAAAAACCAAAAACTTTTTATTGGGTAAGAAAAAATACTGTTGGATATACGTGTAACAGCAGGTTTAGATGAACGTTCACATTTGAGCCAGGTTTCATCTGCTCCTCAAAGTTTCCATTTTAGGTGTAAGGCAAGGTGCCGGATAAAGCAAATCCATACCCTATGCCAGCACCGATATCGACGACATCTTTGCCGTGTAGGTCTGGCAAACACGAGAGAATATATTCTCGTTCTTCCTCCTCGAAATCATCTGCACTGCTGTTCAGCATCATCGCCGTATTATCGCAAACATTCGAGAATGACGACCAGAATTTCTTATAGCGGATGCGATCCACAGCTGTTTCGGTCATTTTGCTTAAGCGTTACCTTAAATCAGATTGATTAAACAACACTACTAGAATAGCATCATCGAAATTGTGGCGTTACATGGACATAAATGGCATTGGGTTGAAGTTTCCAGTACGATAGGAAAATCTGAATAATACGAACAATTCATATGGCTATGCGGAGTCATTTTGAAAGAGAACGTCACTCGAAAGCAGATAGCATGGCGTGGTAAATTACACAACAGTAAATTATTTCACAATGAGTTATTGAAATCGCGAAAGTGCAGCTAAATAAGCATCAGTTGATTTTCATTGAGCTTAACGAGAAGGATGAAGAACTGGGATATTTAAAAATTTCGTCTATACACGAACAACTAGATGTTATCTAATAAGTCAATTGATATACGAACATCTGATAAAGTCCTTGATCACATGTTCGTAACACGATTCATGACTTTCATTTTTTTGCACATCATTGAAAAAATGATCAATTCATGAGAGCAGCACTTTTATACATGGTAGATTACAACTGATTAAGAGAATGATGACGGGATTTCAACAAATCCTATGCTGTATACTGATTCAGCGAAGAATTTTGCATGAAATCTTGAGGTGATAGATTTGTTGGTGATGAATTTTATTTTTTACATTTGGATTCAAAATTACTCACAATCAAATAAAATGTCGACGAACAGTTTCTGCTGCACCAGCACAGGAATAAAGTGTATGCATAGCAAAACCGCAGTTGATACCTCAATAGCACTGGTTGAATTCGCACTAACTGCGAATATGCCATCGTAAAGGGTTATATTCAGGTGAAGGCGGGCGCTCTTCTTGAAATCAACAAATCGGTAATTATCAACGGTATTCGTCTAGCATATCAAGTGATCACTGGTGATGTGGTGCACGCACACACTGTCATGATTAATTACATGATGCAATCACTCAACAAAATGCCGTCATCTGAACAAATAATAATTCCTTGATGATTGACAAACAAAATTCAGCGCATTATCTATCATACCATCATGCTGTATTATTAGCGCAGCTGAACAGAATAATGTTTTAAAGTGCGACTTTTTTTGTATCACGCAATTATTCCTTATTTTGCTGCTTTAATGTATATCAATAAGGAAACAAGCACCTGCGCATAAATGTAATCGCATACATGTTCATCTACAACTGGATGAACTCATGACTTTTCTTTTGTGCATCATTAATAGAATTACAATAATTATGCATGAAATGCATCATTCATCCTCTCCAACAGCAATTCAGTTCAATCAACCATATGTACGAGCCCATTGAGAGCAGCCATAGGTTTGGTTACCAATTCTAAATATGGGAAACAAAATGTTGATAAAAAATTATATCAAGTGAAAATTTGTGACAGAAACCGTGAAAATATTCAACTAATAGTGGTAATGACTACGAATTTTGAAAGAAAAATGAGGTCAGCGATAATGTTTGTTGAAGAGAGCTAAGCCTAGTAATAGCAACAATACTGCTGATGATATGATAACAGGAATATAGTTTCTATTGACGAAGTATTATCTGCGCAATTAGAGATGGTTTTTACGATGTTCAACGTTTCGGCGTCATGTCATCTTCAGGAACATGTTGTTGAATCAGGTAATACTTTGTGGATAAAAACTACATTACTATTTGATCTACCTATTACCTATTGATCTATTGATCTTATGAAGGAGGAAAGCTTTCAAGAAGTGATAACAGGTTTAGCAATGAGCTGATAACAGCAGTGGTATCAATGAAAAGGCCGATGAAAGAGAAAACACGCATAAGTGATGGGTTTTTCGTGTCCAACTGTACAATGGTTTTAGTTTATCTATTGATCAGCGATCGTTGATTGAATATAATGACATTAAGACTTATTCATTCATTCATTTAAAGCATTCGTTAAGTCAGAAGAAAGCTCTCAGTTAATACGAATTCAGTGACCTTGAAAACATTTCGACATTTCAGAACATATATGTGATAACCGAAGAATAAAATAATCGATGTCGATCGTTCGTACATCGATTTATGATAACCGATGTACGAACAATCGTTCAAATGATAAAAAAGATGGGAAATTTGAAATAATCAGGGAAT